GCTGAAACTTACTGGATTTTGTTAACTAATGTCACCATAAAAAAAAAACAACTCCCTCCTGATATTTACATTCTTGTATAATCCCCTCTCTTTTAGTGTGGGCTGAACTTAATGATTTGTTTCTAACTAGTAGAATGTGGTAAAAGTGATGGGATGTCACTTCCTGATTAGAGTACAAAAGACTATGACTTCTGTCTTGTTAGCAGTCTCTCTGTTGCTGGCCCTCTCTCAGCCTCTTGCTTGCTTGCTCTGATGAAGTAAGCCGCCACGTTTTGAGATGCTCTGTGGAGATGTCCAGAAGGCAAGGCACTGAGGGAGGCTGCAGGCCAATAGCATGAGGATCTAAGGCTTTAGCCAAAGGCCTGTGAGCTATTGAGTCTTGCCAATAATATATTGAGCTAGGAACCAGATTCATGCCAACTTAAACTTGATTGCAGCCTTGTGAGAGACCTAGAGACAGAAGACCAAGTTAAGCTGTACCAGGATTTCTGCCCCAAAGATACAGAGATGACGAATTTGTTGTTTTAAGCTAAACACAGTTGTTTTAAGCTAAGTTTTGGGATAATTTGTTACACAGCAAAAGATAACTAATACACATCCCACTTTATAGTTGAAGGAATTAAAGCTCAAGGAGATGAATCAACCTTTCCCAAAGTCACGCAGCTTGTAAATGGCAGAGCCAGGATTTGAACACAGTTCAAGAATCTGAGTTCAAGTCTACTTTCTTATGAGATTTCAAGTGATTGGGAAACTGGTGTTCTAGAAAGCATTCTAGTTTCTGAAATCTTGGAGTATAGCCATGTTTCCAGGAAACTCTGCGTGTATATATAAAACAGAGATGGACAAAAGTTTAAATGATGTTAAGTGCTTTAAGTGGCCCACTCCCTGCTGCAGAAGAATGGCTGGTCCACCCATAGATCTGGAGATAGTAACCAGGGTCTCCTGTCAGTAGCACAATGGTAAAGCTGAGAGCTGCAGCCCATCCATTTTAGAAGCACTCAAGCCATCTTACCTATAATATGCAAGGTACCCAGGGTAGTGGGGTATACATATTTTTCTTGAGAATGAAAATGCATTCATTGAGTAATGAAAAGATATGGTGTGCTATTTAAAAACCACATGAGCCTTGGAATTGGAAAGTGAATGGTTCTTCTGCTCAGGAGAACACTCTCTTCCTTTTTTTTTTTCTTCCGTCTATCCATGGAACAGAGCCTTGAACTTTGAAACCACAGTGCTTTGTTCCAGCATGGAAAGCAGCTTGGAACTTCCCTATGCTGGAAGCTCCTTAGTTTGGAATGGTAAAAACATCTTCTTCCAGATAGTTTTCCTTTGTTTATCCAGAGCTTCATGCCAGTGGTCACCTTTATGAAATCAAGTGAAGATATATTTGTTGGCTGGTTGCATGAATATATTCTTCCTTGTCAGCTTTGCCCTGGTGCCAGAGTAGCAGGCTTTGAGCTCAGGGAGGATTTCCAGGTGGCCATAGAGCAATGGTCTCATAGGATAGAGTTCTGGCATGGTTCTTCTTTCAACCAGTGGCAGAGGCTGCACTTTGCTGGTGTAATTGTGCAACCTGGTATAAAGTCCATAGCCAGGGAGGTGGGAGTAAGACTCTAAGCTGGTTCAGCATTTTAATCATGGCCTCTTGACTCTCTTTCTAGCTTTCTTCACCCTCGTCTCTGCTAACCTGCTTCTCTCTCTCTGTCTCCTCTCTCTCTCTCTCCCTCTCTGTCTCTCATATCTCTCACCTCCCCCCAATCTCTACCCACCTCCCTCCTCTCCAATCCCTTCATCTCTTTCAGCTTCTACCTTTGGGGATCCCTAACTCAGGGTACTACCTCTTATCAAATATCTTGGCTTGCTTCCAACTGTTAGCAGCAGGCAGCTCTGGCCCTAGTCTGCTATCTGAGTGATTTTCTTTTCCACCAGTTGTTTGTTTCTCTAATCCATTTGGAATTGTGTGTAGAATGCAGGGGAGTGGGGGGACATCTAAAAACAAAAATGGAGCTTTTCCTTAGTGAGATTGCCCCCCGCCCAGACTAAAATAGAAATGAAAGGAGACTTGGATCCTGCTCCCTTGAAAAGTGATATGATGAAAAGAGGGCAGGAGTAGCAAAAAGAACAAAAAGTAGCATCAGCATACATACATTAAAGCCTGAGGCAAACCATATTACTCTTTAGATAGTGGGACATCACTCTGAGTCCTTCATCTTCTACTTAATCAGGATTTATAAAGACAATTTATGCCTTTAATATACCTGCCATCCTGGTCTTGCTCAAGTAGCTCTGAACAGATACCATCAGTACCACCTCCACAGCCAGCCACACAACACAAAGCTGCAGACTCCCCGACTCCAGTGTTCTTGCTTTCTAAGAGGGGGCCTTGAGAAAGGTGGAGAAGCACATAACACAGGAAAGAAAAGAGAAATTGGATGGAGTAATCACATAAGGTTACCCTGTGCATGCAGAATCAAGACATAGGGTATAAGTAATCACCTTTCCAGTACTGCATAGGCTTTAACACCACAATAGCTTTCTGTTGGATCAAAGAATTTTCCTTGGCACTTTCCTTCTTTAAGGTTTTCTCTTTTTTTTTTTTTTTACTGTGTTGTATATGTTCATTTTACATTTCTTTTCTCGACTGATTTTCATAAGGAATGGGAGAGTAGAGTATATGCATGTGTAAGCAAAAATATTTATAAATACCCTTTTTTGTGTGTATGTGTGAAATAGAATGAATAGCTGACCTTTGTGGCAATTTTCCTAGTTTTGTGACAGTAATTTTGTTGTGTTTCTGAACTTAGATGGCAAGTCCTCTTAGTGAGGCTGGCCTAATTCTATGTTCTCTATGGTACCTAGTCACTATGGCTATTCAAGAACCATTATTACCCAAAGTACCATAATAATGACCATGCCTTCCTGTGACGTTATTATTTCCTATCTGCCAGGACATTAATTGCCTTCTAACTTGCTCTAAAATTGGTAGCTAGGGCATACGGCCACGACTAGAGAGAGGAAAGCTGCTGATAATATATTAAAAGGCTGTGTAAAAGACATACTGATACCTCTTTCTCATTGGAGCATCTTCACATTTGCAGGTTACTTCATTTGTTACGGAATGTTAGTTAAGGCTTGCCTTATATCTTAGATTCCATCATGGTCAATGTCTGATCTTTCCTTCAACTGAATGATTCAGACATCTCTGAAGTTATTTTGGCTTTTCCACTTTCCTTTTACAGGCTTTTTATGAGTCATTGAATTGAAGGGGAGGTTATTTCTAAATTGGAAGGTGAGGATGAGAGAAGGGGAGAAAAGTTCCGGAAAATAACTAGGAAAAGACACCGTATTGTTACGTATAGTTCCGGAAGAAATAATTTCCACTTAGTTTTGTGATAGAGGTATGTAGTTTATTAAAATGAATAAAAATATTAGCTAGAAAATAGACTACTTTTTTCCTGGATAACATACCGTGCAGTTTTATAGACTCCCTGTAGCTTACTCTGCAAAGGACAAGAGAGTAAATGGAAGAGATATGAGACAAGGAGTTACCATAAAGAAGAAACGGGCAAAGCACAAAATTTCCGAAGTTCAGATTCTTGGTCCCACAGGAAGTTTACAACTATAAAATAATGCTTGTGAGGGAACTATCTCCTTGATCTATCTCAGTCCATCCTTGAGTGTATGTTTCATGGCCCATGGGTTTGTGTCTTATAGGTGGAATTGTGAGGAAAGTACATTTAAATTCGATGTAGAAACTGAAAGAGTAATCAGGACAGCATTTTGTTATTTAGGAGCAGGAAAAGTGGGTGGAAATAAAAAAGAAAAGAAAAAGCTAATGATGGATATATTTCTGGGAGTATAAGCGTTTTTATAGCAACACCAAATTTCTCAAAAGTGCCTACTGTGATTTGTACCCAAATGAATAAAAATGCAATCATTTATTCTTGTACATTGTGCCAATGTGAGAAAAGAACGGCAATTCATTCAATGGTCTTAAATTAGACTGCTAGGAAGAGGGGCGGTTTAGAAAAAAAAGAGAGACAAGCTTTTTAAGTATCTGACACACATCTAGTAGGGTTGTTTAAGAACTGCTGAACATTAAAATCAAGTTGGGGGGAGGTGGGAGGAGAGGAATTCAAATTTCCAAAGCATCACAAGTGTAAAATGTGGCCCATTCAGTCCAAACTTGTTGATAGCTGCCTGGTCACTTTACAGGAACCAGCCAGGGGTGAGTCTGGAAGCTGAACACTCAACACGGCACTTCAGTTTATTAACGACGTTTACAATTGCAACCGAAGTGGACTGATTTCTGCTAAATAAACGGTTGTGCTTTGCCTTTTAACACGGAGAGTTCTGGGAAGAAGTTCAAGGAAACTGGGCACACTGGGACCTCAAAAAAAAAAAAAAGAAAAAAGAAAAGAGAGAGAGGAGAGAGAGAGAGAGAGAGAGAGAGAGAGAGAGAGAGAGAGAGAGAGAGAGAGAGAGAAATTTATCTATACAGTGCTTTTCTCCCAAGGAATGGGAAACACTTCTTAAACACAACCTCTGATGTTGGTGTTTTCTAAGTACTATCCTATGAGTAAGCGAGAGTTATAAGATTCTCCTTATAGGAAGGGAGCTGGAGAAAGGGATGAATTTACGAGTAAACTCTACAACAAAGAGTTAACCCTTCCCTGGTAACCTCATATGTGAGATTCTGCCCCTTCCTGGCTTTCTACTGCGCAACCAAACTGTACTTGAACCAGCCGTAGCCGTCTTATCCCTTGCCAGTTGCTTTAACAGACACTTTAGACAGCCTATCATAACTTTGAACGGTCCAAACATCAACCAATTACAACTAAAGCCTGGTCTGGAACGCTCGGGGTCCGGACGGAGGCTAATACCGGGTCCAGGGAAAGGGGCGGTAAGGAAACAATGATGGACAGGTAAGAAAAACCAATCAGAGCAGAGAGCCGCGGCCCCACTATCCAATGCAGAGGTAGGAAGTATAAAATGGGTGGGCCTGTTGTCATGGGGGAGGTGGTGGCGCTTAGTGGCTGGCTACTGGCGGCGGAGGTAGAGGCAGTGGCTCTGGAGTTGGTCGGGGGCAGCGGCAGGTGAGTGCTGGTAATGCGGCCTGAGGTCTGGGGGTCATCGCGGAGCGGAAACTCCTGCTTGGCGCTCCGGAGGTGGAGGCAAGAGGAAGGGGCCCTGGACAGCGGGTCGGGTCCCGGGGGGGGCCCGGGCCAGGGCGGAGGCGGGGGCGGCGGCGAGTTCGCGCTGACTGGGCTGGTGGGAGAATGGCCCGGCTCCCGGCGGCGGAGTTCCTGTGCTCCAGGTAGGCTGGCGCCGGACTCGAGCAGGTCAGGCCGGGAGGACCCTTAGGACGCACTGCTGCACGGGTCTGGGGCACTGACCACAGCTGGTGTGTGTGGGATAGGTCCCTTGGGGAGACGGGAGCAGCCGGGGTCCCAGAGTGGGGGATGACCTGGGGTGACTGGTAACGACCTGATCCGAGGGCGGAGTGACTCGGGAATACCCAGGACAGCTTGGGTGCGAGGGAGAAGGGGAGCCCGCGAAGCCGGGGAGCGGCCCCAGCGGAGGAGGGAGCTGGGGGGTCGGGAAACTGGGAGTGGCTGGGGTCTAAGGGAGAAGGGAGACCGAAGGCAGCCGGGGTCCGGGTGACAGGGAGCGGCCTGGGTCCGAGCGAGGGCGTCGAGGAAAGGCAGGGAGGGGGCTGGGAACCCTTCTGAGAAAGTCGGCTGTGGGAGGGAGGAGGGCTTCTGGGAGGTTAAGGAGCTGCGGGTCTGAGAAGGGTTGGACCCGCGGAGACCTTGAACTCCTTGGGGAGGAACCCGAGCGCCTTCCCTCTCCCCCCAACCCCCACGCTGGTCTGGGATGGGAGAGCCAAGACTAGACTGGGAACTTCTGGGTCTGAGGATCCCCGGGCACCAGAAAAAAAAAAAAAACAACCCTCTTGGAGTATCTCCGATTTGAGACCAGAGGGGTCTAGCTGGGAAGTGGAAGTTCTTTTAGTTACAGAGGAGTCAAACAAAATGACATGCAGGTGGGCGGAGTAAGAAGGAAGTAAAAGATAGAGGGTAGTAGGAGGGAACGAGAAAGTTGCTCAGGAAGAGAGCAGTGGTCTTGCGGAAACTGGCCAACACAGTAGATACGGGAAATTAACAGTGAGGCTATTAATAGGCTCTAAGAACTTAAGAAATAGAATCCTAAGATGCCATCTAGGATCCAGAAAAGGTTCTAAAAACAAGATTAAGTGATTTGCATTTCAGAACTTACGTAAAGAATTTTGTTTGAAGATGACAGCAATAATATTAGAAAACGAGGACATTGACAGGATAGGGAATTTGAAAGGGAAAAGGAGAGGAATGTATAAAGGAGTAGATCTGGGGACTTGATCAGAAAGAAGAGAGTTATGAAGAGAATAGGAATACCTTTGCCAAATTAGAAGTTTGAATTCTAGTCCACTTCTTAGCTGGGAGAGTTTAACCTTTCTGTGCAAGTTTCCTCATCTGTCTAATAGGGATAATTCCTACTTCATAGGGTTGTTTTTTTCACATGAGTTGATATTTGTAGGACTTTTAGAATATCAACTGGCACAGAGTAAGCACTGTGTACTGGATTGTTAAATAGAGGATAAAGAAAGACCTGACTTCTTTAATGAAATGGTTCTCAAACTTTAGCTTGCACCAGAATCACCTGGAGAGCTTGGTAAAATACAGACTACTGGCTTTCTCATTTAGTAGGTCTGCGTGGGGCCTGAGAATTTGCATTTACCTCAGGTGATGCTTATGTGGGTTCACTTTAAGAACCACTTGCTTTAAATGAAAACTAATAATGTAGCAACTTTAAAATACCTGTCTTCCCTGCTAAAGAAAGAGGCAAATTGCAAAAAAGATTCTAATATAAGGCATACTCTATTTTAAGCCTGTTTTTCAAACTGGATCATGATTTATTAGTAGTTTATAAAATTAAATTTTAGTGAGTTCCCACCAGCATTGAAAAATACAATGAAATAGAATTGACTAGCATTGCACTTGGTAAGGAAAAGTATTGTTTTGGGAAATTTTTCTCATACATGTATGTATGTACTAGGTCACAATGTAAAATATTTCTGACAGTCAAGAGTTTGTAACACTGTTTTGAGCCATGCAGTGCAGCAAAATCAAACCTTCAGTAGGGGTGTATCTAGGGACTAGTTTTTTTATTACTTTGTTTTTCTTCTTTTTGTGGTAATTTTCTCAGGTGGTGATACATTCTATTAAATTTCTTCTGTTTCTAATTTGGTTTCTCCTGTGTTTGTCTTATTACATACTGTGTTGTGCCTCTTTAAATATTGAAAATCTTTGGCACGAGGACTTAAGGGAATTTGAAGCAGAGAAATGAAATTGACTGGTATTTCTTAGATGTGGTACACTTTTGTTTCACTTGTGCCTTCTTGTTTACCCTTTCTTTTTTATCACTGTCTGTAAAAATCCCAAGTATACAGGACATATTGACAGTCAACAACTAACACTGAAATCGACTGGTTTGAGAACAGTTCATGTATAGAAAATAAGCAAAAACCAAATGAGACACACTTCAAAAGGGAAAAGTGAAAGGGTGTTTCTTTTTAATAATATCTTAAAATTTTTCATAGCCTTATACTAATACAAAAACATATAATATAAAAGCATTTTTAAGGGAACCAGATGTACTTGTGTATTTTAGATTTCTAGGTTTTTGAAGAGAGAAGAAATAGTGATAATACTTGACAGTGAAATACACCTGGGACTGAGGCTTAACCACAAAGTAAATAGTTTATTAAACCGGAACTTTTGTTTTGATGGTTTTCTCTCTTGAAAATGAACTGGATGTGACATATGTTGTAAATTTAACTTGTTTGAGGGACCTAAGTGTAATCTATAGGATATATTGAGAATATATGTGTATGTTTTGTGCTATGCTTAGTTTTATTTTTCTATTAAAAACAAGTTGGTTTATTATTTAGAAAGAGTTGGTTTAACTTTTTATGGATATGAGAACAGAAAAGCAGCATTGAAAACAGAGATCCTTGTAGCTCTCTTTAAAATCTTTAATTTAGTGGATTTACATAACCTTTTCATTAATGATTTATGAAATTGTGAGGAAACTGTTGGTGTAGCTTTGCTTTAGGATTTTTAGATAATTTTTTCCTCTCAAAAATAATTTTTCTAACAGATTTTTATATTTTGTTAAAATTTTTGTTTTTGTTTGGAAGACTGCAAAATGTATTATCATTGCATGTTTAAGTTGAAAGATATAAGCAGTCTTTTCATAAAAAAATTTACTAATTTTGTGTGATAAAGATTCCCAGGATGAAAGCTTTTGAATTCCTTATATTGAGTTAAATGTAGGATCCTTACCACAAATGGTTGTTTTTTACATCATTGTACATTTGGTGGGCACAGTTGTTTCGATATTCAGTTATTTTCTAACTGATGGAGGAATGCAAAATCTTAATAAGTGTGGGAAAACTATAAAAGTTCATTCTTCATAACTGTGAACAGTGACCAGTTTGATTACTTACTTCTTACTAAATGGACTTTATTCAGTTGACTTACTATTCATCCATAATTTAATCATACTTATCTCGGAATAGCTGATTGCTCTACTCATTTTACAGTGAGATTTTTTAATCTATAGTGGTTTTTATATCCCAAAGAAACTGCTTTTGACTGTGTAATTCAGTGAAATGAAATTTCTCTTATCAAAGATTATTCCTGTAAATGATTTTTAAATGTGGAAGTTCAATTAACACTAGGTAATTAAGTTTATTTTCTATTTCAGTAAAGTTTTTGTCTTCTTTTCTGGAGGGTAATGCTCTTCAATTACCCATTCAGTAAATCCTAATGGAAATGTTGGTGCCTGAAAATCTAGTTCTGTCCAAGTACAAAAACCTATATCTGGTTTTTAGTTTGCTGGGAGAATTCCTTTTATTAGAAAAGGTCTCTTGGTGAACTTATCACCTTAAGAAAAAGTCTTATTTAAAAATTAGAGTACTTGAAGCTACATTTTATTTTGGAATTGCCAAAACACATCTATTGTATTTAATAGATTTTGATTTCTACAGAATAGATCTTGAATTCTGCCAATTTCTGAACTGTTATGTTTCCTTGATAAGGCTAAGGAGAAAGGAAACAATTGTATACCTTAAATATACTTTTAAAATGTGACATCTTATTTATTTATTTATTTTTATCTCAACATAATGACAAATCTTTTATTTGCAAAGAAAATTTGTTTCAGTCATATAACGTACTGGAAATTTCATTATTAAAGGTAAAAATTTCCTATCATGCTTTAGGATGTTTGTTCAAATGTAAGACACAGGTACTGATAAATAGGATGTCATTGTGATATTGCTATACATTTCTGAGAATATAAAATATGCGCTTGAAAATCTTGGGGCAAAAGGAGGATTGAAACTAAGGGAGAATGAGGAGAATACTGACATGTGTTTAAGGAGGAGTCTGGAGGTCTGCAGGAAGTATGTCTAGAGGAGTGAGCCTAGCCATTCTTGGCAGTTTTCCTGGAGTGACATATGTAAAGGAGGATGATCCTATTTGCAACATTCTCCCATGGACGTATTTTTTGTTCTGTGCAGTTTCCACTGCTTGCTATAACTCTTCCTTTGTTTTCTTCCACTCAGGAAAGCATGTCAGAATACAAGTGAATAGACTGAGAATTGCTAGTGCTAGAGGCCTGGAACCTGGGCAGGATCATGTGGATTTAGAAGAAGGCTGGACACTTGTCTCTACTTCTGCAGCTCTTGGGAACAGGTCCCCTGCAATTGTAACTAGGCCAAGCCTTCCCACTGGTTCTTTCCAGTAGAGTCTGGGATTAAGCAGTAGGGAGAGACTCTCAGTCATCTTAAATGGATTAACCAGGGAGCTGCTATATTAATAATTATTGTTCAGTGACTTTCTCTTCTCACCCCACCAAAACTTTCTCCCTACTTGCTTGCTGATGCCTTGCAGTCTTCTAATCAGGATCAAAGTCTTGAGTTGTCTGATTAGATAGCAAAATCTTAATTGTAGTAACTTGTTTAGAACACTGTTAGAACACTGCTTGGCTCCTGAATAACAGCAAAGTCAGAGAAGCCAGCAACACACACAAAAAAGCAAAATTCATAACTTTATTTAAGATTGACCTTGGCTACCTCTGGCCTTACGAAAGTAAAAGTGATGTTTTCATTATGGTCAACTGTGCACAAGTAGACCTCAAGTACCCTTCAGTTGTGTCATGGGGTGCTGCTTTGCATAATTTATTTAGGTTTATTTACTTAATTACTTTTAATGTCACCAACTTTGTTATAAGGAATTTTAGCTGTCAGTATTGTTTAATCAAGGTAAACTTTTTTTTAACTTGAAAATCTCACAGAACCACAGAATAGCCCGATTATGACAGACATATATTTGTAACTACTATATTATGAAATTGAAAAAGGCATTATTTGTGTTCTGAGGAAGCATTATAGAACGGACACAGTCCACGTTTCATAATTGTATGGTCATGTTTTTGAATCCTAGCTCTATTATTTACTAATTTAGCATTTTATTACACCTACCTTAGCCTCATTTTTGTCATTTATAAAATGGAGCTTATATTATTTTTCTTCTCAGGCTTATAGTTACAGTTAAATGAAAAGCATTTTGTATAGTGCCTTGCCCATAGTGGGCACTCAACATGGGGGATGTTAATTATTAATAATTATAACAATATTAGATCTATTATAGATTTCTCTTTCTAGGAGGAGCTAATAGTCCAGATACTGTGGTTAATGGCAGTTAGGAAAACCAGAATTGACTTTAAAATTTTACTTCTATTTTAAGCATTTACTACCTTAGTTTGTTTTTGTGGTTGGTTTAGTTTGGTGAATTAGACTAAAACATGGGGCATATGAGGCTAATATTTTATCATGTGGTCACTGGCTGTCTCTAGCATTACCTGATTCTCTTCCAAATATGTATAAGTTTTTGTTAACAGTGGGAACCATTAACCCTACTACTAGAAAAAAACAATTGAACATTATAGATTTAATGATTTTAAATTAGTTTTAAATGCCAATTAGAATCAATTTATCTTCCCCTACAGTTAATTCATTCCTCTTTACTATTCCAAGTAGAAGTAGATTTTATTTCACAAGTTAGGTCTTGTACCTTCCCTAGTTAAGGATTTGATCAGAGGTGAAAGAAAAACCTTTCTGTATCTGTAGAAAGCTGTTAAAAGCTATATTATTTCTTAAAGTATCTCTGACGAAAGCAGGTGCATAATTTCCATAACATTCATGATGTAATGGGCTTTCTTTAAACTTCATCAGTGAACATAATTTTTGAATGGTTAACTATTTTAAAGAGTTGATTTATTCTTATTTTTGAAAATTATTTGTTATTGGTAGTATGAAGGGATATTTCCTATGATAGCCAAGTCTTCCTTATTGCAAGGAATGCAGTACTATATATTGTATTGAAATATTGGCAAGAGAATGAACTGTAAATGTCCATTTATAGAACTAGTCATTATTTCTAAAAAATGTTAACATTAACATGTTACATCAAAAGCTGTTCATTTCCTAATGATCTCTTTTATATTCTAACCTAATTTTAAGAACCATACAGTTTTTGGTATTTTATATTGTTGAGGATTTTTTAAAATGTTATTTTGTGATATTAGATTTAATCTCTTAATAAAGTTGTACATTTTTGCATTCATGACTTTATATTTCTTGGTATTTTCTGGCATACATAAATGTATTGAATGAATGATGGGGAGATCCTGACTCGGGGTTGAGTTCTGTGACAAGTAAATGAACTCGGATTGCCTGAGTTCAAAACTGGCTCTGCTTCCTTAGCCAGGTTAACTTTTTTAGCTTTAGTATTGTTATCTGTAAAATAAATTGCTTTGAGGATTATATTAGATAATTCATATAAAGCATTTAACACAGTGCTTAGCTCATAACATGTTTAGAAAATGTTAGCTACTATTATAAGGTTTGCTGTGTTTTTTGCATGGACCGTAAAAGTCTTGTATATAAAGTCGAACTATGAAACTTAATCTTCATATAGACATTAAAAACAATCTTGAATTTTTCTCAACTCTGTTATTTTTAGTATAGTCAATCTGTGGAAAAACTTGAATCTTTATTTTAATTCAGCTATATTTTTTCCTTTAAGTCACAGTAAGTTCTTAATTTTTTATAATCAGATAAGCAGTGATAACAGTCCTTATATTCATTTAGATCATGAAATGTAGCTATGGAACTTATTAGATAAATTTTTCATTAGACCTGACTTTTATTTTATTTAAGCTAATATTTAAGTATTGAATCTTCTTGACATTGAATATCCTTAATCCGTTACCTGCAACTCTTAGGATTAAGGGTGGATGTTTTCTGCTGTTAGTAAAGGGTTCTCAAATCCATTAGCTCATCAGATATTATCTGTAGATAAAAGTATAATAAGTTCTATATATACATATATATGTACATAATATGTACTTAGAACTTTTGTACATATATCCATATATACACAAACACAGATACATATATGAAGAATATAATATATAAATGTTGACATATACCTATATGAAGACTATATGAATATATACAACATATATGTATATATATAAAACAATATATAAATGTTGATACAAATTTTAAAAATCTTTATTTTAAAGGCTAGACTGAATTCATGGTAGCTTTGGTTGCCTTCACTATTTGCTCCATCAAAGGATGCTGAAAATTCAGCTATTATGTAAGGATCAGTTAATATTTTGACTTTTAAAAAGGTTCGTCATATGTAAAAGCTCTCAGTGTACATTTCCTATCTTTTTCTTACCCAAATGTGCCATTTCAGAAACACTAGTATTTTTCTGTTCTCCCAACATATGCATTTTTTTTGAACAACTTTATTCAGGTATAATTGGTATACAATGAAATTGTACATATTTAAAGTATACAATTTGATGAATTTTTATACCACAGGCGGGATGAGGAACATGCTACTGTAAATGTTTCCTTGTGCTTTTTTTGTAATTTATCTCTTTCCACTCCCAGGGATAACCACTAATCTGTTTTTGTACATTAACTTGCAATTTTTAGAATTTTATGTAAAGAAAATTGTATGGTGTATACTTCTTTTCTGAGAGGGAGGTCTGGCTTCTTTCACTCTGCCTAATTAATGTGAGATTTATCTATGTTATTTTGTGTATCAGTAGTTTGTTTTTATTGTTGAGTAGTATTCCAGTATATGGATATGTCACAGTTTTTAAAATCTATTCTCCTGTTGATAGACATTGGATTGTTTCCAGTTTTTGGCTACTCAGATAAAACTGCTATGAACATTCGTTTATAAATTTTTGTACCAACACATGTTTCCATTTTTCTTGGGTGTTTACCTAGTAGTGGAATTGCTGTGTGATACAGTAACTCAGTTTTCTAAAGTAGCTATACTGTTTTCTATTCCCACCAGTGGTGGGAATTGGAATTCCAGTTTCTCCACGTCCTCATCAACACTTGCTATTATCTCTGTTTTTTTTTCTTTATAGCCATTATAGTGGCTGTGATGTGATAATTCATTGTAGTTTTGTTTTACATTTCCCTGTAGGCTAATGAGGTTGAGAATTTTTTTCATGGTTTTATTGGCCATTTGTATAACTTCTTTGGAGAAATGTCTATTCAAATTCCTTGCCCATTTAACAAATGGGGATGTTTGTATTCTATTATTGGGTTATGAGTTATAAAAAAATCTTTGCATATTCTGGATACAAGTCCCGTATCAGATATGTGATTTGCAAATATATTTTCCCATTATGTGGGTTGTGTTTTTATTTTCTTCATGGTGTCCTTTAAAGCTCAAAAACTTTTCATTTTGATGAGGTGCAACTTATTTTTGCTTGTGCTTTTGATATAATATCTAAGAAACTATCTCCTAATCCAAGGTCATGAATATTTATGCTTGTTTTTTTCTAAGAGTTTTATAGTTTTAGCTCTTACACTTAGATCTGTGATCCATTATGAGTTAATTTTTGTGTATAATATGGAGAAGGGGCCCAACTTAATTATTTTGCTTATGGATATCCAGTCGTTCCAGCACCATTTGTTGAGACCATTACTTTTTGTTTATTGGCTTGTTAAAAAAGTCTAATAAAATTTTCTGCTTTGTTATGAATTCTTCTAGGTAGCAATTTGTTGGTCTAGGGTGGCAGTTGGGGTTATGGTGCTGAGGGACGCATTTTAGAATAAATGAACCCACTGACTTAAATATACGATTATATAATTTCATCCTTACATTACTTTATACTTGAACATTAAATAAAATTCAGGTGCCATTTTACTTCCTACTGGACAACCTTGTGTCCATAATTCTACAAAAGCTTCAATGCTGGACCGTTTAATGGGAATCAGGGTGAGATTTTTAAACATGTGACTTAAAGAAAGAAAAGCTTCTATTATATCCTTTCTTTTTTCCCTCTCTCTTCTTCAGGGTCTCCCTCTTTAACTTACCTGCCTTATTACCTTATTAAGATAAAAAAGACTCTTTTCGATTATTACATGTAGCCTTTTCTGAAAGAAGAGCAAATACTAAGGTTTTATTTTTTAAATTGGAAATTCAAGGAAATGTTCTATAGCGATGATTAAAAACATGGAGAAAAATTATAAGGATTTTAATTAACCTTGGTAAATTTAAAATCCAGAATTAATATCATTAATATCAAGGTTTTCTGTTCCATGTAATACTAGTTGAAGGTTAGAAATAACATAGTATTTTCCTTTTCATTTTAAAAATAATAAAAATATTTTACAACTTGTGAAATGTACTTAATATTTTGAG